TGTGGATAACCATGACTGGGTATTCTATTTGCACAGACGTATTTTCAACAAAACCAACCAAAAAAAAGAACAACACAACAAAAGAAAACCGTCCTCTGTCCATTCTCCTCTTAATGTTTTGAATATATTTAAAATTCTGCTGGAAACACATCAAAACAGGATTTCTCTCTTTAATATGGGAATTAAATTCGGGAACAAGCTGCACTACATGTATTGTGTGTACAATGTGTTCTGCATGAATCAACACCTTCGAGATTATGTCCATAATTGTAGGCCTGGAAACCGTGTGTAGTGGTGAAATCCTTGTTGAATGTTCGATGGCAGGAAAAACACGTCTCGGCACAATTGTTTGACAGAGATACGATTCTGTTTAAAGATGTGTCAGGGGCTCCCAAGAACTACTAGATCTGACATATGTAACTCCCTGATTGGATGGTACTCGGCAGAATCACATATTGACACAAAGAAGCTGTTTTTTCTTGGCTCCTTGTGTAACAGTAAGAAGCACCTACTTTGCTTCAAACTCTTTATCTCACGCCTGTTTGCGTTTAGAAACTGCATATTGAAGACAAGAACAGGATTTATACCAGATATAGTTCATGTACTTGAAAAATACAAACTGAGGCACTTTCTCGAGAATTTTGTCTCCTCCGGCATCTTCATGAGTCAACTCTCCTGGAAGAAGATTGTAAAAGACTCTGTCATGGAATACGAGAAGTCCTCCTGGAACCAACGAATGACATCAGATCCAGATCTCAGACACTTCAGGACATTACACCCCTCGATAGAGCCACACCCAGCTTGGCTACTTGCCAAAAGATACCCCTCCTTGAAACAACAATGCATCTTCACAGTACAATTGTGTGCTCTTTGGCGTCCTCACCGTGTGTATGGACCTTGTGATAAATGTAATGTGAACTGTGCAGACCCCTTGATCCATGTCCTAACAGCGTGTGAAGCTTGTGCTGGCTGCAGAGACCAACTCTGGTGTGACATTATCAACGTGGGCCCGGTGGAGTTGAGCGTGCAACTTCACAACAAGACTGATATGGACCTGGTGTGCAACCTACTTTCCTGCCGCCCCCCAGTACTGCTCTCTGGCGAGGAGACTGAGCTGTACACACTGACTGTTGTTAACGGACTCTACGCGACCTGTAATGCATGAATATTCTATGCGCTTCTCTTGTTAACTTAAAACTATCTTAACTTTTCTCGCATTCCCTTGTACTCTCCATTGGAGGAAAAAAAGTGTATATGTTGTGCAAACGGTGTTGTTTTAAGGGATTAAGACACTGGTTTTCTACAAAATGTAAAATGTGTCCACTCAGGCGACAAAATATGACATTTGTACCAGCGGGTTGACATGTGAACCAGCGGGTTTAGTGAGTGAGTTTAGGTCACTCAGTTCATCAGTAGTGAGTTATTCAATTTCTTACATAAACCTGCATGCTATAAGAATTTTGGATCTGCCAGTTTTCATCATCATTTCCACAACGTCAGTTATGGCAAATGCTCAATAGGTTTCTTCCTACTTCTCGTGGTGTAAATGGTTATATGTTTATTGTGAACAAAAAGAAAAGGGGAGAGTGGATCTCGTGGAGATGCATTCAGAAAGACTGAATATCAGTCTCAACAGTGAACGACATAATTTCCCAAATACCAATACACAATGAAGTCAAGATGTATCTTTTCGACTATACCAAAAATACTGACGGTCCCCGCACAAACAACAACCTCGGGGGTTAACATGGTCGTCTCAAGAAGCTTGTGGGAAAACAACATCCCAACCTTTTCGAGATGGACAAGTTCTTAGCAGATGAACAAGGACTGAACGAGGCAAAGATGCTTCAGTACAATGCAATACAAAGACCCCAGAAAGAAGAAGTACAGAAACTTGGAGGAATGGCTAGATACCTTGAAGTTCAGGCTTGCAAATAACGACCTGACGTTGATGGAGTACCTGGACAATGCCTGCTATTGTGTGAAGTTGTTGAGCTCGTGATTCTTGATTCTGGTATATCTGTGTTACCTGCATATTTTGCTTTCACCATATATGTTTTGTATTATTTAATTCAATTCATAAGGAAATGGCCATTTGTAGTGTTATTGTATATTATGTTATTTATAGTTGCTTATTTAGTGCTATAAACTTTTTATGTACATATTATGTTAAATGAATGTGTATTATTTATAATGTTAACAATAGAAATTACCGTTCAATGAATGTTTAAATAGAAATGACATTTTACACCGTGAATCTTCTCCACTTATTTTCCGGTGAACATGTTAGCATTAACCCTACCGTTGTAAAAACATTGACTGCTTATTGTCTAGAACCAGTCGACCTTAAAGATACACCCCTGCAGACCGACCAGTTTGTTTTACCCCCCTCCAAAGGTCGGACTAACGGGACCTAACCCATATAACCACATACTTACATGCTTATGAAAAACTATTTATACATAATCTACAACAAGTGCACAGGAATGGCATAACAATATATCTTCATCCAAATATCTGTCATTTTATGCAAGTGTTAAATCTGTGTTACAACCTGAGTGCTACCTGTTAAACATAAGTGATAACTCTTTAAGAACACATTTATGTAAATTCAGAATCTCATTACATGATTCAAAGAATAATGGATATCGTAGATTAAGATCATGTGACAGCAATATTGTGGATATAGTATGCAAAAATTGTGAATTACTTGAAATTGAAGATGAGTACCATATATTCTTTGTTTGCCCAAAATATAATTGTATTCGGGAGATGTTTCTACCATGGCTATATAATAAACAACCAAGTAAGCAAATTTTGTTATCAATTTTGAACACAACAAATATAAACACCACTGAATCTGTTTCCTTGTACTTTCACAAACAAAATGTGTTGAATCGTTTATCATCTTTTCTGTAGGGTGCAGTGAAATAATTCAATTTGAAGGTTTTATGCTGTCAACAAATGTCCTCTTGTATAACTGCTTTATGATATGGTAAAACAAATTAAACAGTCAACATCACCGCTGCTATATATTCCTTTAGGGTGCAGTGAAATCATTCTATCTTTCTAATAATAGATAAGTATGTTTTCTGAAAAGGACTACCCTTCTATAACTGCCTCACTCAATATGGCAAATGCATGTAAGTTTGAATAGTAAACACTACCCCGAAACTACCTCCACAAGTCTCTACAGTATGTTTTGTGACACCTTGTCTTTTTCGGAATACATTCTGTCCTTGAATATCCATTAAATGATTTTTTGACAGCTTCATACAATATATGTTCTGCTAGTTATTAGAGTTAAATCTTCAACGGTTCTTTTCCAGGTAGTCTTTGTGTATTATATGTTGTTTGTTTTAAACATGCCATACATTAGTAGGGAAATGTCCTTGAATTGGCTGATGAGTTGAGATTTGACTGAGTCTCCGATCTTTGATAGACCCGTGAAAATCCGGTTTAGATTTGATCTTCGGCAACCCATGCTCGTCGTAAGAGGCGACGAAGGGGGTCGGATGGTCAGACTCGGTTGACACATGTTATCGTATCCAAAGTGCGTAGATCGATGCTCTTGATGTTGATCACTGGATTGTCCGGTTCAGGTTATTTACAGGCTGCCGCCATATAGCTGAAATACTGCTGAAAGCGGCGTTAAAACCCCACCCGTGGTGGGTGGGGGACAAGGTTGCTGAATCATTTCCTTTCCATCATCTCACAAATACATCTCCAAATAAAAAGAAGAAGCGTCAACACAAAATAGATCAGTCCAATGAAAATAATTCGGCAAATGTCGAATCATAGGCTCGGTTCCTGGCTACTGAAGCACATCGGGGTGGATGTGTCTGTCCCCATTCCATTCCGTCGTTATAAATGTCAACATTTCGGTCACGGGTCGCATTAATGTCGAAACTCTGTGGTGTGTCATCGCTGTGAAGACCGTCATGATGGTCCGTGACTTTTATCGTAGAATAAATGTTGTTATTTTTTAAGTTATGGCTAATTTGTGCAAAAATCACCAATACACGAAGGAGTGATGCAAATCCAGCAAGGGTCCATGCGGGTAGCTAAAGTACTGTAAGTCCCATCGTCCCCTGCATGGTGATCTTCCTTCGGTTGCTGGTGATCTCGCGATGTGGCTGAAATATTGCCGATGTGACTGTAAATCCTAACTCACTCACTATCTGTCCCTGAGTACAATACCCCCTGAAAAGGTATGTAAGTACCATTTCATTTATAGTTTGTTTTCATACCACATGTGTTTAATAGCAGAACATGTGTCATATTCATGTACGGCTAATGTTCACTACAATCGCCAATAGCAGAAGGGATGGTGTAAATCCAACTAGGGCCCATGCAGGTAGCAAAGGCACTGTACGTCCCCATGGTCCCTAGTATAGTGATCTACCTTCAGTTGTTGGCGATCAATGGCCTGTTTTTAAAGTATGTATTGTCCAAATAATACTATTAGTTTTAACTTTACATGCTACTTATAGCCTGTTTGTACATTACGTATTGTCAAAATAATGCTATTAATTTTAACCTTACATGCTAGTGTCAGCTTTAACTGTGATAGTCTAGTTGTTTTACTGTCCTTTAGTGACATCTGTTATAATATTTACACATTGTTTATAAAAGTCCAATGTATTCTCGTCACGCTATGGCTGAAAAATTGCCGATGTGACGTAAAATGTTAACTCACTCAAACTCGCTCTGGGGACACTATTGATCCTTCCTTCGCTTCATTTTCAGACTTGGAATACGACCAAGGTAAGCAGAGCATGACAGAGATTAGCATTTACACAATCCATATGTCCATGACCCATGCCCAGGTTACATACAAAGACTGATTCCTCCTCATCTAGGTCCACTGGGTGTTTTGTGTTACTGTTGGTCTGAACATAATAATATATGCGATAAGTGGGCATGCTTCCCCAGGTCGAATTTACTGAGACAAGAATTGTTTTCCGAATATCAAGGTACTTTATAACAGCAAGTCTGAAGACTTTTGGAAAAGAACCGTTTTATTTAAGAAGTGTGATTTCACAGACACAAAACCCTAATACAATGTTAGTTTTACACAAATACACTGAAGCGCCAAATGTTAATTCATCCTTCATAAAAGATATATGAGCTTTGCGCATACTAGAACGGACAAATATACAACCGATTTACTGTGATAGAAGATGTAATATAATAAAAACACACACGCATATTTGAAGATATATTTTTGGGGAATATTAAACATGATATGATCGAGCTAACACAGGTTTGTAATCAGTGGACGATTGAAGAAATAGGCGGAACTGGATATTATGCGTTTGAAACATTTTACACAAAGTGAAGCCAGTATATTCATATAAAAAAATATATCCATACAATGCATGACTGATGTTCAACTATTTGGCTTCCTCCTTCCTGTTGGTTTTATCTGTAACCTGTTCCTCATCAACAGATGATTCAGCTTTATCACATTCATTTGTCGCAGGGGCAATTGACAGCTTACTGGCAAAGTGTTCGCCCATCTTATCCAAAGCTATTACAAGTAATTGGGGTCCGACCAGCTTCACAACACCCTTGATGAGATTCATCACCATCACTTCTTCATTGCTGACTTCTTTTTTAGCCGTTTCTCTATAATTTGGAGGATTAGCCTCACATAACATCTTCCTCCGTTCAGCTTCCAGTTCCAGACGCTGTCGTTCCTTTTGAAGATCGCTTTCCATATGCAGTCTCTGTTTCTCAATTTCCAGTTTCAGTTTCTCCATTTCCAGCTGTTGCTCCTTCTGCTGTTCTTTAATGCTTAACTGTTGTACAAGTTGAGCGATCTTCTCCGTTTGGGCCTCTTCCATTGCTGTCATCTTGGTCTGATATTCTTCTTCAATCTTTCTCTTCTCCTTATTTACTTCAGCCTCATGTTCCTGTCTGAGTTGTTCCTCCCTCTTCAGCATAACCTTCTCAGCTTCCTTGTACATGTCACTTGTGTAGACCTCGCCAGAATTGTTAGAGTGGATCCTGTCCACCATGTCCAGAAACCTTTGAACTGTCTCATTCCTCTCCTCTGGAGATGCCCTGTTATTAAAAGCAATATATCTATTTCCACAGGACTTCAGAAGATCTCGTAGCATTTGTGGTACGTTTTCAAGATATTTCTCAATAGTTTTCCCGCAATAATCCAGGTCATCCTTTCGGGTAAATAGAATCATGAGGTACTTCATCATTCCTTTTCCAAAGACGTTCTTGAAGTGTTCCACTGTGTCTTGTTCCTCTTTCGTAAATCGATCGATCCTGACAACCATAACAAAGGCATGTGGTCCAGGCGCAGTCATCCCAATACATTTCACCACCTCTCTGGTGATGTCGGCATTGGACATGCCCGTATCAAACAGTCCTGGAGTGTCAATGATCTCAACGTTTCGTCCAAACCTCTGACAGATGGCTCTTTGACATTTGTTGGTGACACTTTGACCACATGTGTCGGACTTAAATTCGTCCCGACCTAGGATGTTGTTGCAAGTAGTGCTCTTTCCAGACCCTGTCCGTCCCAAGACGACCAGTCTTCTCTCTGGACAAACGTTCTCTGACCATCCAATAGGCGTATCTGGGTGGTAATTGTATACGTAATAGTTTTATGTTGGGAAAGCTTTTTGCCATTCTATTCGTGTGAGGAAATCGAACTGAGTTACCGATTCACATGAAGTTTGGCAACCATCAGGTTTTTTTCTTTCAGTCGTCATTTGACACCTGACCTATAGGGATGTTATAGGTTGTTTTCTACATTTACATGCTACTGTTACATACACGTTCCACATACTTATTTGTTTCCTACACGTCGTTGGAACATATGCAAAAAAGTATGAGTATGTAACAATGTGACTGTTATCACATAATTGAGGTGATGTTGAATTAAATTTTGGCGGGATTTAAACCTTGACTTATGGATAGATATTTTAACATATAAGATATTCTTCTACTCACCCATTCTCTTAATATTGTCTCTGCTTCTTTGTCGTTGATCCAATCCTACAAACAGGAATATTTGTTCAGAATAGTTTACATTTGGCTTATACTAAAGGCATGTTTAATATATATGAGATGGTTCGTAACTCATAAAGTTGTAAAACATCAATGTCTGAAAATAAAAAGTATCCATTATCTTCCGAAACAGGTTTCTTTGTGAGAAGACGCTAAACTCTCTTAACGTGAGGCACGGCAGTCGTTTACGTGATAATTATGTCAAACATATAATTAAGTACAAAATTGTACTTTCGCTTTCATTTCAAACTATGAGAACGGCCAAGGCAGCGATAAGAATATTCACAGATCATGGTCATTGTTCCTTGTCAACAACAACCCATAATCACATGTAGAAGCCAAAAATGAAAGAAGAACCTGTTTTTCATATTTGTAGGATCGAGGTCTTGAAATTACAACACTCATGGCATTTTCCATTGTAGCATTAGACTCAAGATTGATCGATGATCTATTTCAAATGAATGTTTGATTGCTTACATACCTGCCATGTTATTCCTCAATCCTACTAAACTCACCTTGTGTACATCTGAACACGAATCAGGTTTGTTGTTTAACTGCACTGCAGCGAAAGCTGTAACACGTCACAAGCCGTGGGTTTCCCCCAGCGTTGAAATATAAATAGGCGCGAGAGCTTATTGATCACAAAGAGAACATTGTGACATTGGGAATCCCAAACACCCCATTCCCCGAGTATGGGTACATCCTTCAGTGTTGTCATAGACGTCACGTTTAACGATACGCAAGAGAGGGTGTAACAAGTGTTTGGCAACCGAGGTATATAATTTCATAGAAATAGAGAAAGACGGGAATGCCAACACTCGCGAGATTTGCGTGACACCAATACAAATAGGTTCCGTAGGCGATACTTCGCCGAGAGTTTTGGTTCTTCACTTCCGGTTATCCGCTTACACAGTGCGACAATGACTCAGTCCCAAGCTTCTTTTTCCATGGATATGCTTGACGTAAGTAAATATAATTATAAATAACACCATTATCTATTTTCAATGAAATTTAAATGTCAGAAAGATCTCTTGAATAAAGAGGAGTAATAACGGATATATCTTGTTTATGAACGGACAGTACTTCTTTTCGTGTTGCATGAATTATTTTTACGAATTGATTTTTCTTTGCATCGTGGCAAAAGTTCCGCCCGTAACTCCAGCTTGAAATGTATTCTATTTATTATGATTATTTCTAGGGGTTTAGGTTTAGGGTTTAGGTTTAGCATAATGTTAGGTTTAGGGTTCGGGTAGGATTTCTATAAAAAAAACAACAACAACGAAAAAACATCTATTCTTAGGCATGGGATGATGAACAAAACCGGGGGTTCAGGGCGGAAATCTTTCCATGTAGTTGTAACGGAGTTGATTCCTCAATCACGTGAGAATTCACGATTATTTATGTTACATTAAATTAACATGTACATGTAAAAAAGGTCTGTGGAAATTACGTCAAGTGACGAATACCTATGCCCAACGACTACAGTCTGTAGATCTACCTTTGGTTGTTGTATAGTTGGCCAGCCTATTTGCTGTCACTCTGCATCTCATCAGTAATTATTGTGCCTTTGCCAGTATTTTCTGTAAGTTTATTTTCGGTAGTTTACTTCACAAGTGTCACTAATAGTGATAAATATGTGAGAAGAATTATTACGAGATATGATTGAAGAGAGACAAAGATAATGGAGACTCACTGATCTATCACAGATTACTGCCCACTGTGTTTTACTTACTACTTTCTAACAAGACATGATTACTGTTGATGTCTAAATGTTTATTCAATTTCAAATGTACAGCCAGAAATGGATGAGATTTTGAACAATCTGATAGACGAATTCGAGGAGCGTGTACACATAGAGTTAGAAGTTGATACATCAATTGAGGTGATGCTTCTGAGTAAAGATACTTAGTAAAATACATATTTGAAATAACAGAAATTTCACTTAATAGACCGATCCAGTCTGTCAGTCAAAACTGGCGTCCATTTTGGCCAATCAGCAGGCCGGGCGCGCTTTGTGGATTTGTCAGACTTATGACTTGGCTTGAGTACTGCTGTAAGGCGTCGGGATGTAACCCTTAACCTATATTTAATTGCTAATAGCTAAATCTGCTAGTCCTGCATCGAGTGTAATCGTATGTAGATTTAAATCTGCAGGTGGTTTCGCATGTAAGGTTTTTACCCTTTATGAACTTTATGTACAACTCATTTTGTCTTATGGTGCAGAGATCTGGGCAAGAACACAGTTTAGCTGTATCAACTGAGCGTCTCGTTTCATTCTTGATAGGTTGTAAAACCCCAAACTTAGTTGTTCGAGTTGTATGGGTTAGTCTTCACCTTAAAAAAATGAAATCGTACGTTTTTGGCGTCGTTTGCATTCAGTTGATAATATACTCTCCCAAAAACGAAACGCATATAGGAATTTTAACTGTATTTTTATGTTTATTTTGTAACATCTTGTAGGCTTTGTGAGTCAATGAAATATAGCGAAATTGCACACTGGGAATGCAGACTTATCCGTCTTTGGCACGAACTGGAGGAAAGACAGTTTGAGTGTCACATGGAGACGTGTGGTGGCGCTGAAGTCAATACCTCGTGTGACCACCGTGGGCATCCAGAACTGCACGGCATCGCCTCGGCATCGAACGAATAAGTCTCAGAATCTCGTGTTGCCCAATCGCAGCCCACTCTGCCTGTAGTGCCTGTGCGAGTTGCCATAACTGACGTTGTGGAAATGATGATGAAAACTGTCAGTTCCAAAATTCTTATATCATGCAAGTTTATGTAAGAAATTGAATAACTCACTACTAATGAAATGAGTGACCTAAACTCACTCACTAAACCCGCTGGTACACATGTCAACCCGCTGGCATTGTCCTGTTGAAACAACTCCCTCTGGCGATCAATGATTGGAAGGAGGTGTGGGCGTAGGATTTCGTCACAGTACCGTTGAGCTGTCAGGTTGCCCTGGATCATCACCAAATCACTTCTCCTACGGCAGGTGATCGCTCCCCACTTCATAACACTTCCCCGGCCGAATATGTCCACCTGGGGAACTCAATCGTCGGCGAAACGTTCACGTCGACGTCTGTACACCCGCATTCTTCCATCGCGTCGTTCCAATAGAAATCGTGATTCATCACTGAACCAGATTCGACGCCAATTCGGTAGGTTCCAGGCCTGAACGTTGGTGCACCAATGAACTCGATGTCGACGATGTTGTTGTCGAAGCACAGGGCCAAAATAAGGTCTTCTGGCACGTAAACCAGCCTCTCTCAACCTGTCATGACGGTCTGTGCAGAAAGCCTCCTCAATCCGGGTATTTGTCGAGCGGTACTGGTCGCCGTAGCTGTTCGATGACGCAGGTGATGTACCCGGATGTAGCGATCCTGCGCCGCAGTGGTCGCTCGAGGTCGCCCACTACGAGGGGCATCTGCTACCGCATTCTGCCGGCAATATCTCTCCCAGAGCCGTGAAATGGTGCTTTGGTGAACATTCATGCGTCGGGCAACTGCACGTTGAGACTGGCCAGCTTCAAGCAAACCAATGGCGATATGACGGTTGGCTTCTCTTAGACGTGGCATTTTGCGTTCGTCAACAATATTCCAAATACAGTGAATAATCGACAGACAGTGATCAACCTTTTATACCCATCATTGAGACTATCTGATCCCCAACTTTCACGTGCATTGCATGTCAATTGTGTATTCTGTGACACTACACGCCGAAATTGAAAATCATGCTGTTAAATACGGTTATTTTACGGATGGTGCGTTTTGTTGTAATGTTTCAAAACATAAACACCATAGGACTCATAAACAGAGCAAAACCTTTTGTAAAATGAATCACGTTTTAATTCATTGCTACATGAAATTGCTATTTTCATAATGCGTTTCTTTTTGGGAGAGTATACATGGTTAAACAGTACTGTGTCCATACTCCACTGAAGAGATCATATCTCATTATACTAAGTAGGTTATGTTGTGGCACTATACCACTTTACATTGAGTGGGGAAGATTTGCTCGACCTAAAAGTCCGTTGGAAAAATGAATGAATGAATGAATGAATGACAATGTATTTGTATAGCGCCTGCTCAGTGGCGCTTTACAGAAAAATAACACAATGATACAAATCAGTGATGCTTAAAAATACAGTAAAAGCTAAGATGATACATGATGAATGGGGGTTCGAGGATTCAAACCTAAAATATTGTCTGAACAGGTGTGTTTTAAGGGGTTTGTTTAATCAATCCCTTGATTTTGCACTTTTCAGTTCAGCTGTAAGTTCTTTCTACAACGCTGAGGCTGCAACTGTAAAACACCTTCCCCCATTTTAGTGGTGGTTCTGGGCATGGCGAGATCATTCAAAGCACTGTTGCATCGAAGATTTCTATTTGAAGTTTTGTACGAATTTGTGGATCAGTGGGATCATTCAGGACTGAATATGTAAGAGAGAGCAGCGCATAGGTGACTCGTTGCTGTACAGGAAGCCAATGTAGCTCCCGCAGGATTAGTGTGCTTTCACAGTGCTTCCTGGAACCCGTGATGAGACGAGCAGAGCTGTTCTGTTGATGCTGTAGGAGTTTGATGTTTGAGCTGGATGTTCCATAAAGCAGCGAGTTACAGTAATCAAGGCGGGATGTGATACTAGCTTGCACAAGAGTTTTCAGACAATCCACAGTCAGATATTTCTTGATGTTGCTGATATTGTAGAGACAGAACGACAGAGGGATCTCACGTGGGGTTGAACGGATAAGGATGGATCAAACATCACACCGAGATTCCGCATAGATGATCTGAGACTGACAGAGCTGTCGCCAATGGTGATACTGAGGGGTGGGACTTTCAGTCGTTGTTGCTGTGAGCCAATAATCATGAATTCGGTTTTTTCGTCATTCATTTTCAGAAAATTGGACTCAGCAGCGCACCTCTGCGATACAGGTCTCTAGCTGGGTGTTCCGACCACTTAATTGGGATGCTTTTGCACTGATGTACACTTGGCTGTCATCTGCGTAAATTTTGAATGCAATGGATTTACGTTACATTTTTTTTAATTACGTTGAATCTGTAGAACCAGGGTTTCGTCAACTGCCACCAGTCGACCAGGTATTATCTTTAATGAATAAGAACATGTAATGTAAACTGCACTCCTATCATAAATGTACAGATGTCGTCAGCTTCACGTCTCGTCTTAAATTTGTAAAACTCGTAGGTATCTCCGCTCTTTTCTGTCTGTCTTATATTTACTACAAGTTCATATGTGCGTATCGTATGTATGTATATATCTACTACTTGTAATCAGTACGTTATTTTGATACAATAATCAAAAAAGAAATCTACTGTCTCGTGGGCCTGATGGCATTTTAGTATATCATTACTGTTTGTGCCACATGAATGTATGTATGTCTTTGTAAATCGTAACGTGACACTGTAATAAAATATATTTCTTCTCACTCACTCTCACTCACTCAATCAATCAATCACCCAGGTTTAAAGCAAACTACTGAATGAATGATGGGTGCTGACAGAAGTGCCGCACATACCTACCCATAGCCAGAACACTTAGAACCTTATATAGATTGCTATAATGCATTGTGGATTGCTATAATTCACCCAGCTACGTGTATATTGCCCTTTACGTCAAAAATATTCTGATTATGTGGATAACCATGACTGGGTATTCTTTTTGCATAGACGTATTTTCAACAAAACCAACAACAAAAAAGAACAACACAACAAAAGAAAACCGTCCTCTGTCCATTCTCCTCTTAATGTTTTGAATA